CATCATTGTTGTTTGGCGGGCCCAGGCTGGGGATTCGAACCCGCCACTTTAGGTGTATGTGGCTGGCGCCTTAGCCGCTTGAGCCACAGGCGCCGAGCCAAGCTTGTACTTCTAATCTGTGTCAGGCCTGGTTCCTTCCTGCGGTGATCAAGACCAGGGCCATAGGGGCCCGATGGGTCGCGGCAGACCAGTTTGTATGATCAACTTTCACACATTTTATACATAGTGAACTATATGTTTTCAGGAAAATTAAATACATTTTAAGGTAGGGCCTTTCCGATTTCAAAAAAACAAGCTATTGGCTCCATGCCTATAGCTCAGCAGCTACAGTGCCAGCCACATCCATTCGGGCTGGTGGGTTTGAACCTAGCCCAGACTTGCTAAAACAACGACAACTACAACCAAAAAAATAGCTGGGCATTGTGGCAGGTGCCTGTAGTCTCAGCTGCTTGGGAGGCTAAGGCAAGAGAATTACTTAAGACCAAGAGTTTGAGGTTGCTTTGAGCTGTGATGCTACAGCACTCTGCTGTGGCCTTCATAGTGAGACTGTCTCAAAAAACAAAAGCAAGCTATTTCTTGTCCTTTTTGAAACTTTCTTTTTCTTTTCATAATGACTCTTCTGTTAGGGCCTGATTGAGGGGAGCAGAGCTACTGTGAGTGATATGCGATAAGAGGTTGATTAAAAGGATAGACCCTCCACAGTGTTTGAGCCATGGCCTGAAGTTGTGGCTCAGCTGGGTTGCAGTTGGGAAGCAAAGCTGGATGTGAAGTAGGACAAGTGAGGACCAGCTGGAACCCACAGGAACATGTTTCCCTCCTCCTTCCTGAGGGTCACAGGCAACTTGCAGGAGAATCTAGTGTCCTTCACCATGGAGTGTGTCCCAGGCTGAGAGGCAATGTGGGTGAAAGATTTCTGTTTGCGGGGTCAGTAGTGTGTGAAGGAGAAGTTAAGGGTGACTCGGCCACTGGGACTGGTAGCAAGGGAGCTCCTGAGCAAGGATTGCCTGTCACGGTGTCCACTGTGCCTCT